TATATTGATCTTGTAATGATATTGAAACTTTAAGGTATACGTATATGCTTCTTCGTATGAGTAACTTGATTACTCACCCTAGTGGTTTGGGTTGTTTTTCAGGTAAGGAGACTATGTTCTTGGATGCTCATCATCCTTAGAGGCTTATGAGCAATTTGGAACATTTTTGTATATTGACATGCAAGTGTTTATCATGCTTTACTTTTGATGTTATATTTTTGCATACCATGGATGTATGGTATTTTTGAAGCTAATGTAGCTACTTTGATAAGTAATGATACTTAAGTCTTTAATTTTGACATTATAAGCATGTAAGTAAAGAGGCCAAGGCCAAGCATGTTTACTTTAGCACTTGTGTTCATTTGGTACCAACTTTTGCTATAAAAATGTACGTTTACCAATTTTGGAGGTTAAGTGTATGAAGATCTTGTAAAGAACATGTATGAGGCTAGGAGCCATTATTTTTACATTCAAATATGTATATGCAGTTGTTGATATGTTCACCTACTCAAATCTCATTGGAAATCACATTTAAACTTTCATTTTTAATCCATTACATGAGGGGATTTGAAGCATGGGTTGAACCTTTACACACTTGGCACTTAGCAGGTCTTACAGCAGGTTTTTGAGGTGTTTTGGTTGACCGACACTCCATTTCGGTCAATCGATGGCCTTTGGTAACATCAATGCACAGTAAACATTCAATTCCAGTAGCCATTTTTACTGTTCAAAACCATTTCAGTCAATCGATGGCCCATTTCGGTCGACCGATGGTTCATTTCGGTCTACCAAACCAACCTCACCTTAAAATTGGGATTTCAGCAGAGTTTTTGTCCAATTTGGTCGATTAAAACTCTATTTCGGTCGACCGAAATAACTTGTTTGCATGCAGCTCCTCTGTTGTGTTTCAGCACTGAAGTTCCAACTTCAAAAGGTCATAACTCCTTCATTCCAAATCCAAATAGGGTGATTCTTAAGCCTAAACTCAAGGATTTTGAGTCAGATTTCCAATGGTACCTAGTCCATTCTCAGATTCCAATCACAGTGGGATTTATTCATATTTTAGTGAGGTAGTGTTAGTTTTCGCTTAAACCAAGAAAAGGCATTTTGTGGGATTCTTGTTCAAAGTTCTTAGAATCTCTTGGAATATTGTGAAATGATTAGATTAGGTTGTATTCACCTTGTTTGACTTGTTTAGAGTCAATTTTCTTCTTTTATTTATGAATTGACCGTTTTGCCCTTCATTATCGGATTTTGCCCGTTTTAACTCTAGTTTTCTCTTTTACTTTTCTTTAACTTCCGTGACCTCATGGAATGTCACATTGGTGGAATAGAGATGATTTATATCTCAAAGGACTATGGTTTCATCTTTTGCTTCCGCATTTCGAATTCGTTATTGGGTTAACTTTCGGGTTATCACGGACGCATCGGGTTGAAAAACACGGGTCACGACACCTCCTTTTTAGGCCAAAATTTTACCCTTTACGATTAATCGCTCCTTAGTGCGATCGATTGCACCTGGAACCACTTTTTTTGCCTTCATCATTCATAAATTTTACAACCGATCGCACCTGAAGTGCGATCGATCGTACGTGTGCACATTTTTGGCAATTTTTTGTAGAACTTTGGAATTTCATATCTTTTTCGCTCTAACTTCAAATCAAGTGATTTTTTAGTCTAAGTTTATTAATTTTTCGTTGTCTATCCAATGGTATGCACGGTAGCATCCATTTATGTTTTAAATGACCATTTTACCTAGTGGCATTCTTGTCCGTTTTTAAATCTTAGCTTCCGCATTTATTTCTTTTTTGTGTCTCGTGACTTCTCGAAAGGTCACTTTGGTGTCTTAGATGTGGTGTCCATCTCTAGAGACCTCTTCACTTGTTCTTGCTTCTGCATTTGGGACTCGTTATCTGGTTAGTTTTCGGTTTACTCGCTGACGCATTGGGTTCTTTGAAATTCGGGCCGTCACACAACTCGACTAGGACTTGTTTTATTAACAATAATTGGCAATTACAAAATTTATATCTTATAATCTCCCCCTTTGGTAATTTCGTGACAAAACCCTAAAAATATTTAAGCAATCTACCCAAGCAAAAAAGTAAATTACAATTTTGTTCAAAGGAAAACACGAAATTTTATCTCTGTTCTCTTCTCTTCTTGGAGAAACAATTTGACCTGATTTCCTGCACAATATCTAGGAAAACTACCAGTGAAGTTTAATAAATAAAATTTATAAAAACTCCCCCTTAAATAAATATCCAATTATCTTTCAAATTACTCCTTCTGAAAATAACATTGTTGTCCTCCTTTTTGGAACAAATTGACAAAGAATATAATTGCAAAGCAGAAAGAAACAAGAGAAATAGATTAATTTAGTTTAACATGTCATTTAAACATATAAGTTAATATCCAAAAGTAACGACCATGTTAAACAAAAGTATGATGTCATGATGTATGATAAATAAACACAAAAATGTCAGCATCATTATCTCCCCAAATAGAAAGTCATCAATACTATAATCTTCACCACTCTCATCATCCTTATCCTCATCCTCATCCCCATCTGAATACTCAGCACCATCATCCTCAGCTCTCAAAGATGGATCTAGAGGTGTAAACATCTTCTGAAGAACCTCCTGGCTGCTGTCCTCTAAGTTGTTCCATATAAACCTTGAGATCTCATATCTTATCCATCATCCTATTAAACATAGTAGTTTGATAGTGAAGAAGAAGAGAACACATCATGTTTGCATCAGCTCTACAAAATTTTCCTTTGGGAGGAAATAACAGTATAACCTCCGGAGCCTGTGAAGAACCCTCATCAGCGCCTCTCCGAGTCTTTTAGCATTCTACCTAGCTGATTTGGACTTATTCAGAGCCTGAGTGTCTAACTTAGTCACAATGCGCTGATGGTATGTTCTTAGAGGAATCTGAACATTCTTGAGCTTGTAGAAATTTATGATTATCATTAGAAAAGGAGATGATCGAATTGCGACGCGAGTTCTTTTTGTAATGAGCCATCACTAACTGCATAATGGATGGTGCAAGTTGTATGTGCTCATCTATAGTAAGAAAGGATAGAACTTGTGCTCGCTCGAGAGTGGTCTCGTCCTTCTTGGAAATATCCCATATTAGCCATAGCGAACAAATTGAAGAACACCGCTATTAGAAAATGAGATAGAATACTATCTTCATTCCTTGGAGTATTCGAAACACAAATTTTTAAAGCAATTCGGGGTAATTCTGGACCCGAGACTTCCAATGGTAATACTTGTCCCGTCATCTTATCTCTATCAAGAATGTCCAAGATGGCTTGAATGGCTTCTTCATCAACCATATAATCAATTCCAAAGAGCAACACAATGAAGTATGTATCCTTAAGCTTTCGAATATTGACATAAAAATAATGTACCATATTCGGTGAAAAGTAGCTTTTACATAGATTGGTAAAGAAAAGCCATTTGTTCTTCTCAATGTATATCACAAGCTTCTTTCCAGCTATGCCACAAAGCTTTTGTAGATTCACATTCCTTTCAGTCTTAATCGGACCATCCTTGTAGGTGTCAACATAAGCTTTCCAAGCAAGATCATTGTAGAAGTATGCTTCTTCAAACTTAATTCTTCCCGTGCTTGAAACAGAAGGAGAAACAATTGGTTCCTCTCGTGACGGAGAGTCAGTTGCCATAGAAATGGAAGAGGTGTCTACGTACTCGGCCTCCGTGGTGGAGTCTGCAATGCAATGCAAGATTGCTTCATAACTATCATCGGAAAGCCATCGGCGTTCTATAACAAAGGGGGCAAGTTGTTCAGTTTTGGAAGTACTATGAATGACTTGCTCTTTTTTTTTTTGTTCTGGGGTATTTTGCTCATTTGTTGAAAGTCCAGGGGGGTATTTCACACTTTTGCCTTATTATTATTTGGGCAAGGAGTCAAAGTGGAACTTTCAATAAGAGATATATATTTGTAATGTAAGCAAATTTGGGAGTCAAAATTTGACAATAGAGTTGTTATTTTTTTTTTTTAATCTCGAGTCTCGATTTTTTGAATTTGAAGCGCAAGTGCCTCTTATCGTTGAATCCATTGAGAACATCATTTAGTGAGTGAGGAACACTTGTATCTTTAAAGTTGGGTATAAGAGCTTAGGTTGGAAATATGACATTCAACAAAGTCCAACCGGTTGCATTTCGATTAATTTAGAACCTGTTGCATTTCTTACACAAAATCAGCTCTCAGGACAAGTAGAACTGGTTACACTTTTCTAGCCGGTTTCACTTTTAAGTAGACTAGTTGTATTTGCCTGCGAAAAATCGGTAACTTTTTAGTTTTATTTTTTTTCCAATCTTGTAGGTTAGTCATTGCATGATTTTAAAAACTCTTTTTTACATATTGTAAAGACTCTCTACTATATATATAACATCTTCCACAAACCCTAGAGAGATTAGAGCTTTTGATTGTTCCAATTGGAACAATAAGGGTTTTCATCTTTTACCCATCCTTTGATCAAAAACCCTAATTCTCAAAAACGTGTTCAAAAGCAAGCGTAATAGACATTAAAGAAAAGCTTGGTAGGTTCCTGTTGTTTGGATGTAAAATATTTTTTGTTAAAAATAAAAAAATAAAAAAAATTTATTTTTTTATTTTTTCGTGTTTAATTGTCCAAAATTTAAATAAAATATTTTATAAAAAGCTAACAAAAATATTTTAAATAAATATTTTTTCGTGTTTAGTTGTCCAATACAAGTTCTAAATACCTTTGCGGAACACCTAAAAATTAAAAGAAAAAAATATTTTACTTAAAAAAAATTTAATAAAAAATAATTTTTGAAAAAGATATTTTACGTGGATACATTAATTAATATGGAATAACTTACAACAATCTTTTCAAACTGTTTCTAATCTTTCCTTTTATTTCTTTTTCTGAAATCCTTCAGAGCCTACAAATTCATCAACCCAGAAAAGGGTAAGTTAATTTATTTTGAGCAAAACCATAAAAGTACGTGATCACACAATAATCTCCAATTAATTAATTCACAATCTCAACGGGCTCGAAACCATTGGCGATCGATCCCTTGACTGCATCAAGAACCAATTGTGTCTTTCTACTGAGGGTTGGCCACTTCTTCTCCGGCTTCAAGCCATTACTCTTAATACCATTAACCAGAGTAGCAAATTCTGTCACCATGAGAGCTTCCTGAGGAAGATCGGTCGTGACAATGTGCTCACCCGGTATCGGTTCACAGCCTAGAGCGCGTTCCCCAAACTTGGAATTCGAAGCTATGAAAAATGTCCCAACATTCTCTTGAAAAGGACCAGCAAAGTCATGAACACGCAAATAACCCTTTGTTCCGAGAGCAGTTAGGTCCATGCTAAAATTGGTAAGGAAAGAGCAATAGAAGGTTGCTATTCTCCCGTCCTCCCACCAAAGAGAAGCTCCGCATGATAGAATCACCCCTGCTTCGTTGAAGTCCGGTTCGCGCAAAGCTGTTACTGTTTTGGGCAGGTCATAGTCTGCAGCCCAAAGACTTGCCCTGATGCAGTACCATCCAGCATCACCAAGAGCTCCATAAGCATCGAGATCAGGCTTCACGCGAATGTCATGTTTTGAGAAAGTCTGCGCCAGCATCGTATGTGAAGGAGGTGTGTGACTGTGGAAATAAAAAATAATCATCTTCGGACAATCCCAGAATGCAGAGGAAATGATAGCTTAAAATTAAAATTGAGCTAGCGTGAGAAAGAAGAATTGAAGCACAAAATGTGAAAAAGTTTATGCTCTTTGTTTAAGCTTCTGACCATGATTGCTAAACTATTAGTCATGCTAATTTGTTTTCTATATACATCAACCACATATAATTTAATAGAAATTTTTTACTGTGGCACAGTGAGATCAACTAGTAAACTAGAACTTCCAAGAAATGTATATTTATGTGAAGTGCAGTCATTTGCAAGAAGGCCATCGTTTCAATCTCATGCATTACACATATATGACAATTTCGACACCATGAAATAGGACAACCAAAAACAAAACCGCAAATTGTTGAAATGCAAACCTGGGTCATCATTTAATCCACCAAAAACTTAGCAGACTACTACCCTGAATAAGAAAGCTAATTAAACATGATATATTGGCGAGAAATATGAATATGTAGATCAACTCCAGATGTTTAGAGCTTCTAAACTATTTTGTAAACGGAAATGAGATATAGGTTAAAATAACATTTGTTTCCCCAATTCCCCCAAAAGTAAGAATTTAACAGAAGGGAAGATGTAAAGAGGGATTTCAGAAAATATCTCTCCTCTTCAAATGTCATATTGGTCAATTTAATATCGCAATTTCTCTTTCAGCTGGCATCATTTAGTTGATTTCATGTTTCCTTTTCATTAATAATTTTAAGATCTTAAACTCGATTAGAGTTTAAGCCAGACCAAAATGTTGGAAAGAAAGGATAAAAATTGAAGACAAAAACTAAAAAGTCAAAGGGTAAATTGCATTGACACCTCTCGAGGTTTCGGTCAACGCGTGTCAACAACTTTTTTAACAATGACACCCCATATGGTTCTAAATGTCATATTTGCCCCTAATTATTTAATTCAATTAATTTATAAAATATCAACTATGTTAATTGACAAAACTACCCTCATCACTAAGCCTATTTTTCTACCCTAATCTTTAACTCTCTTTTTTTCCGGACGTGGCTGCTTTTTTTTTTTTCCCCCCTATTGTAGTGAGTCTGGGTTGGTCGTGGCAATTTTTAATTTTTTTTCTACTCTGGTGGTGGTGGTGGTGGTTGTGGTGATGGTGGTTGTGGTGTGGTTTGTGGTTGTGGTGGTGTTTAGGTTAGCAGAGTGTTTCAAAAATTTTATTTTTCTTTTTTCTATTGTGGTGGTGGTGGTGGTTCTTATAGCATCTGAGTGTGTTGGTGGTGTTATCTTGGTGTGATGGTGGTGGTGGTGATGATTCTAGTGGTGTTTGTGATGTATAGGCATGGGTTGGACATAGGTGTTTTCAAATTTTTTTTCTACTGTGGTGTTTGAGTGTGGTGGTGGTGGTGGTTATGGGGATGTACAATTATCTAGCTATTAAGTATTTTTTATTTATTTTTTATTTTTATGTTGTGGTGATGGTTACGGACCTGGTATAACTATTATTATATGTAAACTACATTTATATGTATAAAAGAGATGAAGATATTAGTTTGGTCAATTAAATTTAGTTAGAATGTTAAATTTGTAATTTTATGATTTAAATGGAGTTGTTAACAAATCAAAGGGTTAAAAGGTAATTTTTTCCAGAAGTCTGGAGGGGGTGTCAATGCACATTTTTGAAACCTCGGGAGGTGTCGATGTAAGTTATTGACCGTCCGCTGAGTGGAGTTGACCAAAATCTTAGGGGTGTCAATGCAATTTACCCAAATTCAAAATATAGTTTCAATCTTTCACTAAGAATGTTCCCACAAAATAATTACCGTACTTGATTGATATCTTTCAATCTCGTTGTTAAATATAGAAAGCTCATGAATCTTGAAGTGTTCTTTTAATAACATTATTCATTTTCAAACCTGCCTCCCGCATTTGAGACTTGACAGATTTAGGCTACCCAACTATGAATACTTTTTTGAGAACGAAAAATTGATCTTGGATAAATCTTTGGTAAATTCTTACAAAAATCTAACTATAAACAAATACTTAACAATCATTCTCTTAACCGTGTCCGTGTAGTTAAAATCTTTAAATTACCATTAAAAACAATGAAAAGTGAAGACTCCAACTAACTTATAATTAAGGTGAAAATTACATAAAATCCTCTTTATTTTCAAATTTTGGCAAGAAACCCCCTGAAGAAATTTTTTGACATAAAACTGCCTTAACTATCAAATTTGTTGCAAACTGATTTTGTAATGATGAAAATGCCCCCTAATATAAATTTAAGAAATATTTTCATTTTAGGTTTTTATTCCCATTTTATAAAATTGAACTTTGACTATTTTTTTGAAAATTACACATCATGAAAGAGATGTTATAATGACGAAAATATCACATAATATAAATTTAAGAAAATTTATGTTTACTTTAAAATGATTTTCATTTTATGTTTTCCTTTCCTTTTATATTTTTAAAAAATAAAAATTTAAGAAAATTTTGAAATTTCATTTCCATGAATTTTCATTTTCTTATTCGGACAATACTTGGGTCCTTCCTTTGGAGGATAAAGTTCATCCTCCCAGCTAATGTGACCCAATATAATTTAGACACATGTTTAAAAGTTTAACATTTCTAAAAATAATCATTACCCATTTTCTTACTAGTTAAACCGAATTTCAAAGTTTTTTTTTTTCCTTTCCAAAAGAATCATGATTATTTCTATACCCAACCTCCATTTGAAATTGAAAAATTACTAAATTTATTTAAAAAATGTACTATATCTATCAAGTGTTGAATAGGAAAGAAATAGGAGCTTAAAATATATAAAAATTTGATGTTAACCTATATTTGAATAGAGTTTTCTCGTATATGTATTTCTGGTCAGAGTTAGCTTTTCTCGTAGATCTATTTTTGGTCACAGTTAGATCTATCTTTTGATCTCTCCCAACTTCCCAACACCTTCAATTGATATGAAAAAGAATGATTAAAACTTTGCGAATACTACAAATTCCAATTGGGGCAGTTTTATGTCACTTATGAGTTTCTATTGGTTTGTATATTATTTTACATATTCAATAAAAGTTGAGTATTTGATTGATGTAGATAGACTAGGGTTTCAAATGGAGGTTGTGTATGGAGATTTATGGGGGAAGAGAGGGATGGGGAAGGGAGGAAAGAGAGTCTTGTTAGAAATTTATCTCTTTTATGTGGCCTTTACATTATTATACATATGTTATATTAGATACTTCCATGAAGAGGGTTTTAAGAAATTAATTGGAAGGTGATCCAATATTAAGTGCACCTATCTGAAAAACCAAAAGTGTAAAGATAGATAGACTTCGAACGTAATTTAAGTTACATATATACTCTTTTATTTATTAAGTGATTAATACTTCACTAATGGAATTTGAGTTAGTGGTCACTTAATGAAAAGTTAAGTGATCCTTTAGTAACTCTTGAAGTTATTGTTCACTTAATGAATAGTTAATGAAGAGTTAAAATTTCTTGTAACTCTTGTAAGTCTTGGTGTTCTTATGAAAATATAAAAGTCTTTTATGGGAAGACTAACTTTAATGAAGTAATGTTATATAAAAGGGTCCCAAACTATACTCTCTTTAAAAAAATAACGTGAATTGTGAAATGAAACACCACAATTAGTACACATTAACTATAGAGAGAGAAGTGGTTTGAAGATCTTACAATTTCAACATTGGTTATTCAGAATAGACAGAACCTAACTTCTGGCTCAGTCAGCATCAATAACTAAGGTTCAAAATCTCTTACTCATAATGGATCAAGGTAAGATATATACCACTTCTACATTTTATAACTCATTGTGTTTTTGTGCATCAAAGTTGAATCCTAATGGGCTAATTATTGTATTGTTAAAGTATTTCTTATTATGTTTAACAAGTGGTATTAGAGCCATAGTTCTCAATTTTGATGCATGAAACTTATATGAATTTCTTGAGTATCTCTATAGATTATTTTGATGCTTGATTATGTATAACCCAATTAATGCACAATATTGATGATTATATATTATAAAATTATTTTTTGGTTCACATTATGAAGTGTTCAATTTTGAAGTAGTATTGATAAGCCCAACAGAGGTTGAATATTATGAATAGTTGGACATTGTGAAATAATTAAACCATATATAGTTATGATCAGCCCAACGGTGGATCACTATGGTTATATGAATGTTATGATTAATGTAAAGCATATTGGAGTTTTTCTGCCCAAAGGTGAAATAATTCTATAAGGAATATGATATGCATTACATCTTTGTCAACCTCATTTATGGTGACATAGGTAAGGATGATTTTAATGTCTTATATATATATATATATATATAAATTTCAAAATATACTAATAATATATTGTAGTTCTGCCCAACGAAAGAATTACAATTGCATTATTGGTGTCTTATGATGATATGGTAAATCAATTGATTTTATATCTAACTAATTTTGATTTTAGTTAGATTTATTGAAAGTGTGGTGTTAATTTGCATGCATGACATATTGTTAATTAGATTATTTCTTTGTAGCTATGAATCCTATTGCAATTACTGGTTACTTGTCTGGTATTGAGGCTTTAAGTGGAACAAATTTTAAGAAATGGAAGGAACATATTGAAATTGTTCTCGGTTGTATGGATTTAGACTATGCATTACGGGAGTCTGCACCTATAAAGCCTACTGTTGAAAGTACTATAGAATAAAAGACTTTATATAAAAAATGGGAGCGCTCTAATCGCATCAGTCTAATGATTATGAAAGGCTCAATTATGCCTGCAATTAGAAGAGCCATTTTTTACTCCGATAATGCAATGAGCTATATGAAATCAATTGAAGAACAATTTTTAGGTACTTCCAAATCTGTTGCTAGTACTCTAATGATGAAAATGATGACAATGAAATATAATCGTCAAAGTGGTGTTCGTGAGCATATTATGAAGATGAATGATATGGCCTCTCAATTGAAAGGAATGGAC